CTTGGCACACGATAACAGCCGCCGTACATTACTGCGGCCTGCAATGACCGACCGTGCAGTAACGAGGACGGGCAATTAAATCAGAGGCGTAACGAGACGAGCAACACCGGCAGCTCACGCACACGGCAGCACGCACGCACGGCACTGAAGCCACACACACGCTCACGCACGCACATGAGCACACATAAGCACACACACGTCACGCACGCACGCACGCACGCACGCAATGAGCACACAACCGCGCCGCACGCACACTGCACGCACGCACGCAGCACCACACACACGCTGACTGCACACACACGCACATCAGCTCACAACACGCACCGCACTCACACGACGCACGCACACACACGCACGCACAGCACACGGCACGCACGGCACACGTTCACGCACGGCACACGTGCACGCACACACACGTGCACGCACACCACGTAGCCACGCACGCACACGTGAGCACATTCACAATCTGCTGCCAAGCACCGCGGCGCCAACATGCACTCACACCACGCCACGCACACACACACGTACATCACGCACACACGCACACACGACAGCACGCACGCACGCGCTTACGCACGCCCTCAAGCAAGCACACCCACACGCACACACCCCTGCATGCACACACGCAATCAAGCCACCACCCTGCTGGAACCTACGCTGAAATGATGGTGCAGTCACACAGTCACGCACTACTCCTGACGAATACCACATTTCATTTGCTGCTGACACACTCGGTTCTGCCTAATGCACTGGCCTTCTCTCTACTAGTACTAGCAGCAGATATGAACTCCCACTGAAAAAGCGATGAGTAGGAAGCTGCCCCCCACAGCCACGAGGAAAAACATCCATAGTGCCGAAAGCGGTACCCCATGCCACGCATAGTAAACAAATTAAGTCGTCGAACCCGCCATAACACCAGCCATAACACCAATGATACGCGCCATAAGATATTGGTATTTTTCTTGGAGACAGGGCTGGATTATTATTTTATTATTTATGGCCCACACTCGCCATAATATTACACCTCCCATGGCAATCTCTCGATGACGCTCAAACGGGTGTAAGTGTACAGAGTCAATTAAATTTAAAGGACATGGTTTGTTAAATTCTGCGTAGCAGCAGAATAATAGCAGCAGAATAATAGCAGCAGAAGCTTGGCAAGTTCTAACGCAAGTTCCTCCTCCTGCTGCTGCTGCTAGCCTACTGCGTTGTTGCTACTGCTACTGCTGCTGTGCTGCTATGCTTGCTACTACTGCCCTACTGCCTGCTGCTGCTGCCTCTGCTGCGTGCTGCTTACTGCTGCTGCTGGTGGTGGAGCGGGCCTGCTGCTACTGCTACTGCTATCTGCTGCTGCTGCTGCTTTACTGCTACTGCCTGTTGCTGCTGCTGCTGCTGCGGGCTGCTCGCCTGCTGCTGCTACTGACTGCTGCTGGCTGCGAGCTGCTGCTGCCTACTGCTACTGCTGCTGCTGCTGCTGCTACTGCTGCCTGCTTGCTCGCTGGTCGGTGGAGCTGCTGCCTGCTGCTGTTGCTGCCCTCCGACTGCTGCTGCTGCTGCTGCTGCTGGTGTGCTGCTACTTCCACTGCTGCTTGCTGCCTGCTGCTGCTACTGCCACTGCTGTTGCCTGCTGCTGCTGCCTGCTGCTGACTGCCTGCTGCTGGTGGTGGAGCTGCTGCTGCTACTGCCTACTTGCTGCTGCTGCTTGCTATGCTACTGCTACTGCTTACTGCTACTGCTTACTGCTACTGCTGCGCTACTGCTACTGCTGCTACTGCCTGCTGGTGTGATGCTGCTTGCTGCGCTTACTGCTGCTAGGCTGGTGTTGCTGCTGCCTACTGCTGCTGCTAGCTGCTCTTATTCTACTTACTGCTGCTACCTCTTCTACATGCTGCCCTGCTAAGTGCGATGACGTAGCTAGCATGCTACTGCTACTGCTGCATTACTGCTGCCCTGGTGTGGCTGCTGCGCTGCCCGGCCTTACTGCTGCTGCGCTGCTGCTGCTGCTGCTGCTGTTGCTGCTACTTGCTACTCTACTGCTGCTTACTGCTACTGCTGTGAGTGCTGCTGTTGCTACTGCTGCTGCTGGTTCCTATGCTGCACTGCTGCTACTGCTACTGCTACTGCTGCTACTGCTACTGCTGGTGGTGGTGCTGCTGCTACTGCTGCTGATCAAGCTGCTTTCTATGCCACCCAGGGATCGTGGTCACGCAGCAACGTACAGCTGTCCGCAGCAGCATGAGCTCATGATCAGTGTGAAACAAGCAAGCAGCTGTTGTCACGTGTCATCGATCAAACCTAGAGTCAGGATTATAGACAACATCGCTGACTCACACCGACGATGACACGAGACGGGTTGTCATCAGCTTTTTTTTTGCACATCTGCACGCAGCGACTTTAAGATAAAGTTACCATCATCTGCACGCAGCATCTTTGTGGTAAAGTCATTCATGTTTGTTTACGTGCCATCTTTGTGGTAAAGTCATTCATTTTTACGTGCCATCTTTGTGAGAAAGTCATTCATTTTTACGTGCCAACTTTGTGATAAAGTAATTCATTTTTACGTGCCATCTTTGTGATAAAGTCCTCATCATTTTTACGCATCATCTTTGTGATAAAGTCATCATAATTTTTACGCATCTGCATGCAGCATCTTTGTGATAAATTCCCCATCACTTTAAATGGCATCCTCGCGATAAGAGTGGTGCTTACTACTCCTTACTAGTATGAAGGATCCTCGAACAAACCCCTTCTGATAGTACAGCAGAACTGAACAAAAAGCCATACAAGACAGACATGTAATGATCTGATTTTCGCTCATCATATTGTGTACTCTTGTGTTTGTGTGTGGCTCGTGACCGTATAGTGTAGCCTTCTGATAGCCCAGCAGAACTGAACAAAAAGCCATACAAGACAGACATACAGAGACAGGTGAAGCCAAAATATTCGTTACTGAAGCCCTGCATGATAGAATGGCCACGTTCGCGCGTGTATCTACAAGTACTAGTTACTAACTATTAGGCCATCAGCAACTGTCTGTAACAGTAACAGCTGCATATATATATATAACCCAGAGGCTCATCGCTACAGACGAGCTATATGTATGCACAACCCATGGGCTCGCATGACACAGGAATGTGTGTGTGTGTGGGGGGGGGGGACACATGCAAATCATGTATACGCACGCGTACACGTGTATATATATTCTTTTTGGATAAATTTACACAGGCTGGCGTTTTTCCACCGAGGTCAGCCGGTATCAAAACAGTCAGAACACATTAAAATGTACTCATAAAGTGCGGCTTGCTAGCATCTGGGTTTTAAATGTTTATAGTTTAGTACCATTAAAGTGATTACGTCACCGTAAATAATAAAAAAAATAAAAAATATCCACTTTTTCACAAAATATAAGTAATTCTGTTCACTTTTTATGGTTAAACTGCTGCATTATACTTCTTATTTTACTATATTGTTCGATGTGAACATACACTCGTGACTCATACATAGCCCATAGCAAGCAATTAATGTCAGGAACACAATATCAAATCGTCCAGATTTTTTGGATTTTTAACTAGTTGAGAAACAATCTTATCAGGTAAGAATTTGACGATACGTTTAGTCCCGTTAGTTGTTACTTTTAATGTAAAAAAATGGCAACAAAAATTTTACAAATTTTACCATAGAAAAATCGTTACGTAGTCAATTTAACAGCCATATATAACAAACTAATCGCCAGTCATATTCTAATTTAGCAAAATATGTAAAACTAAACATGTGCTTGCCCAAGCACACAGTCACATACACACGCACGTACATACATGCACAAACACACAAGCAAGCACATATACTACAAAAAATAGATTTCTGCACTCTTTAGTGTGCTAACAAAAATAACGTACCCTCTACAATCACGCACAAACGCACGCACGCACGCACGCACGCACGCACGCACGCACGCACATGCCAGACGTCAATACTAGAGACATGCCAGTAGTAAGACTGTGTGTAAGTCGCACACTGTGTACAGAGATACTTGAAGTCGGTTTGCATTACTGATACAAGGATTATCCGCGAGTCACACAAACATTTCCGCTTACTTTTATATTTACTCTGCCTTGCTACACAGCTATAACGTATCCACTGACTGGAGACCTCTCCAAACCCTCACACAGACGCACTTTGATAGAATGACTCAACAGAGGCACGGGCTGGATTAAAACCAGCAAAGACAAATTTCTCGCATGCGCAGACTACAGGACTGAATTCCTACTTAAAATGAACTTACTTACTTCTATTACTTCATTTACATTTTGTATTTTATTTTATTTTCAATATTTTATTTTACTTCTATCAGTTGTAAATGTAATTAACCATTAAATAAATACTGGCATAATAGCGGAACCTGTCCAAAAAAGCGTGGGGTAACCAGCCAGCTATGTTCAAACAGCTCTACATACAAACATGACACCTCCAGCCAGGCGTGCCTACTGTAGAAACGCCAATGTTCCCCTGCTAAATACTATTTGCAGCTATATATTTTCATTGCCCGGTTTCTATCGCCCGATCTCTATAGTGGGGCTTTCGGCGAACTTTGCAGCTGCGCTTTGGCATTCGCACCGATCTGTGCCTGGCATCAGTGCCGGCATTCCTCGATTTGTTTATGTAGCCTTGTTAGAGTCAAGTCAAAATATACGAATCGTGTTCGGGGAAGAGGGTCGAACTACACGCGCTCTGTCTCCCTCTCTCTCGTTCGCTCTCTCTCTCTCTCTCTCTCTCTCATCTCTCTCTCTCCTCTCCCTCCCCTCGCCTCTCGCCTCTCCTCTCTCCCTCCCGCCTCCCTCCCCCTCTCTCTCTCTCTCGTCCTCCCCGCCTCTCCACACACTTCTCCGTCTCTCATCTTTCCTCTCTCTCTTTTCGTCGTCTCTTTCCCGTTCGTGCTCTTCTCTCTCTCTCTCTCTCTCTCTCTCTCTCTCTCTCCCTCTCCTCTCTCTCTCTCCCCCTCTACACTCTCTCTCTCTCTCTCTCTCTCTCTCCCTTCCTCACTCCTCTTTCAGAGTACACTAAATATGTGTGAGCAGAATAGTTTATAGTTATGTGCTTGCAAACATGGCCAGACCCTACAGTCGGGACGCCATCAAAAATCGACGTACATTGGTCTACCGTGCTCATCCGTCTGTTTTTCCGCCTCTCCCTCCTTCTCCACTAGCATCTGTCTGAAGGTGGCGACCTTTGTCTCGATCTCATCCTGGGAGTACCTGTACAAGGGAGAAACGTGTAAAGCTGGGTTTACACTACTGACTTCATGTCGGCGAATCGGCGAATTGGCGAATCGGCGAATTGGGCCAATTTCGCAATTCGCCAACTCCGAGTTGGCAAAAAAATAGAACATGTTCTAATCTCCGAACTAGTTGCTATCCACCAGTTGCTTGCGCAACTCTCGCGTTTACACTGCCGATTGTCGGTTGTATAGTTGGGAAGTTGGTCCAATTCTCCAATTCGCCAACATAAAATCGTTAGTGTAAACTCAGTTCAAGATAAACGATCGCCGCCGCTACATGTGGCTTCATCCTACGCAAGCGCAAACTCTCGAGTTTCCACGGCAACGGCCGAGTTCGCCGATTCGGCAATTCGGAATGACGCGCGAATGCGATTCGTTTCATTTATTAAGTACCCATCTCAGATAAATCAGCGCACGCTGCATTTCTTCGCTAGCGTTGAACGTCGTAAAAAGTTAAAACGAGTTCAAAAACGGGTAAATTCAGCTGAGCACACGCGCCGCACAGAGTAAAGACACGCGGGTGATCAATTGCCGAGCTACCACACAGAGAATGGGAATCCCTCCCACCTTCGCTGTTGATACAAAAACTTGCCCCCTCACGAGCGTAGCAGTTTCTAGGATGTGTTGTGCCTCAGTCAGCTAAGATGTAAACACTGAATCATAGAAGACAAGTGTTGATTGTTTCTGTGACCTTCCATGAGGTCTTGCAACCAATATCTATCTATATACAATATAATAAGGCTCTCCCCAGGCTTTTACCACATGCCGGGTCTGATATATGCCTTCAAAGCAGAAGCCGTAACATTCCATTAATCCTCATATTTGCATTAACTGCCTAATCGACACGCTCCATTTTCCAGCTGTGTTTACTTTTGGCAATCCTAACACAGTCGCGCTGTTTTTTCACAACTGGATGTATACATCTCAGAACTGATACAGTTTACTTGTTAATTCTCGGTCAGGGGATGGACTGCCAAACTGCCCAACACACCTAAAATTCGTGGGGAATACCCTGATGCAAGTATATAAGTACGAACATGCACACACACACACACACAAATATATATCATTATAAGTATAGATCTATATATGTTCATGATATGGAGTATAGTACGTGTCTTACTATATGAGGTCAAGTGAAACAAGGGTTCTCCCCAGGATGAAATTGAAACAGGGGGAGGGGGAAGGGAGAGGGGGAGGGGAAGGGGGGAGGGGGAAACTAGAAGAATTCCCATTCGACCCACTGGAAGTAAGATCAAGTCCGCACCTGCAGCTACAGCACAAACGCATCTATTGACTATATATAACAATGTTATATATAGTTGTTATAGTAGTTATAGTTGTTATAGTAGCTATAGTTGTTATAGTAGTTA